AATAACTCAAGATTTTACTATGATAACCGTAGTTTGACTTCTAAGCAAAAGTTTTCAGCACGAAATTTTAGATATATGAGTATATATACATAAATATTGAATATAAAGTAAATTAAAATTTGCATTTAAGTTTTTTTAATTCGGTGACCAACATAACCTTGTACACATTTTCGGTATACTAATTTTTTGTCTTATGATTTATATATTTTTAAGTTCTCGATTCTTAAATATTCTCTATTTGCTAGTGAATCAAAAAGTACAACTTCAGTAGATAATAAACCACCAAAGGAGGTTCTTTTGTGGGAAGATTTTTTAGAAAATGCAAACAAATATCTTTTTAATTAGCAAGAAGCAATATTTGAAAACCACTATTTCATTATAATCGTCTACTATTTAGTGAAGCAAATATTTGCGAAGCTGTAAACATCAACATTAACTCAGTTTTAAATGAACTAACGGATTGTGACTTCTCAAGTCAAAAGTCTTACATCGGTCAGCCTGATTTTACATTCTATCACAACAATGACTTAACTGTGGTAGTTGAAGTTAAAAGAAAACATATCTTGAAAAATATTGGCAAAAGAACATTATCTGAATTTTATCCGATAAATGATAGTAATTCGTCAAATATATGGCTATATGGTAAAAAATCAGGTTCATTACAGTGTTATCACCACGTATGATTGTCACTAGTTTCTGTGCTATCAGAAAGATAGCCCAGATATGCTTGAAAACACTTCTATTACAATCAGAAGCACCTTCAGTATTAAAAGCATATGCTTACTTCGTGTTGCTAGCAAAAAATAATATATAAAAAGAGTATGTGGTTTTAATATTTTCATTAAATTTGGTCTATTACATGTGTTCAAAAAGCATGTTTTACCAATAAAATTAGAAGATGGAAATTGGTTTTGATGGCTAATAAACAAAAACTCTGATTGGTCAAAATTAAAGGAATTAACCTATTTGCGTCTCTAGTATTTCATGAAATTAGTCTTCCTGTAAAAATGAGATCGTAGTCACTAATTAAGATTTTCATAGTGTATTGCAGATCAACAATAATTTAATAGAAAGTTCAAGCTGCAAATAACTCTTGAACCAGCAAACCCACACAAATAAAATTGTATTTGTCGAGTGTGCTCTTTAACATGACAACGCTCTTTTATTTTTTATTTTTATTGCCTAGAGTTGAGTGGGGGAAAATTCTTGGTTTTGAGTTATTATTAATAAAAATATCAAAAATGTAATTTTAAAGTTTTATGCGTATATTGTGACCAGGGATGGTAAATGACCTTATTATGAATTTTAGTCAATTTTACATTTTACTGTCCCTAATTGTAACACAATATGCAATAGCTACATTTTTGAAATTTTTATTAATAATAAATCAAAACAGAGAATTTTTGTATTACATTATTCTCCTTCCAAAAATAAACTATCCCAGTAGCATCGACAGATTTTCACTAATCGACATAAATTGACCAATTAGATTTTAAGATCAAGTGTAATGTGAAAATCATGTGTTTTTTTTAAAAATTTTATATATGAAACTACTTACTGTATATTAGTAAAAAAAATTACTTGCCAAATTTTGGTATTAAAAAAGCTCAGATGCGATCATAAGATCAAAATCTAAGCCTAGTATATTGTTTTGTTATTTTAAAAGTTGTTATTTTGATCAAATCTAATTGGTGTTGATCAGTGAAAATTTGTCAGTGCTACTGGGGTAGTTCCCAAAAATAGTATACGACAGTAGGGTTCGGGGCACAGCTAAAAAATTAGGCATGTCTACAGGGTTATAGAAGAACATTCATCTGATTGGCTGATGTAAATCAATTGCCCGAGTTAGAGTTTGAAACTGGTTTTATTTTTCATATATTAAAACCAGGTCTAATTAGTATGGTGGACAACCTATATTACACAAGCTTCCAGATTTGAAAATCATGACTCAGGACCAATCTGTCCAATAAAAGTACAATGATGATCGATCACATGAAATTAAACGATTGGTCATATCTGTACACGTGATAACCGGCCAATCAATTTTTATAAAATTACAATAACATTCAAAAAATCTTTATTTACTAACTCAAAGATATCTCATGATCCAGAAGTTAGAATTTGACAAAACTTATACCATTTGATTCGTCTCTATGAAACGAATCGAATGGTATAAATTTCGTCAAATTCTATCTACTAGAATATAAAATACTAACGATATTACATTCTCTTATTTGCTTAGACATTTCTTATTTTTAAATGCGTGTAAATTATTTCTACTTAATTTATTAAATAAATACAGTCCGGGATTTTCCCAAAAATGAAAATCGATTCTAAAACATTTTAGAACGATCTACTGAGCTTTGATTAGCTCACGATAATCTTTTCATAGCTAAATTTTTTTGCAGTTTCGTAATACCCATTCATAGTCAAACAATATATCCCTTAAGCTGTAGAGTTTGTATAACAATTTTAGCTTAAAAATAGCATAAATTTAGTTATGATTTATTTTTTTT